AACCAATAGTAAATCCGCAGGGCGGTCCTTCGGTGGCTCGCTGAACTCTTGTGCTCGTAAACATAGTCCGACTGCGTTAAAAGTTTTAAACAAAGTCGCTGTAAGTCCTTCATTTCCACAATCTTGTGGACTGAGCACACGTTTGATAAAATGGAGTTAAATCTCTCGGCATCCATTTTCAAGCTCTCTGTGTGTTTGTTTCCTTGCGGACGAGAAAAGGGGGAGCGCACATTTCCGGGAGGGTGTGTCCTTTTAAAAAATGCAAGAGGCGTCACTTTGTTGCCGGCCATTTTCTTAAACACACTTTAGAAAGGAGTGTCCCCGACTATCAGAAGGCAGAGATCTCTGATTGTCTGGTGGCGAGACTAGTAGAGATCTGAAATGTGTAAGGGTCCTTTTAGAAAGTAAGCATGACTCCCCTACTCCACGGGCTTGGATCCATTGGGTCTCACTGCACGAATCATGAAACTCGACAGGCAAACAAGTTTTTGGCAAGTGAACGCCAGGAGCTCTATGCATGGTAAACATGCATAGAGCTGTTGACTGTTGACTGTGGTATCATATAATCACAGGTCAATTTGTGACACATATAGTTCCTGTGGGCTACAGCAACACTAAACCCCTGAGCTTGCCTAAGAAGGACTAAATCCACGAAGGCAGAGCTGGGCGTCAGGTCAGCAGTAAACCATGAATGTAACAGTGTTCAGTGTGAGTACAGTTTGTCAGAATTGTGGATGTTTAAAGACAACTGGATACAGTGTTGAAGGCAGGAGCCCATTCATTTCTATGAAAGTTGGTTGGTGGCGTATGAAGCCAAAAAAGTTCAACGTCCTGGGTATCAAATTACCCAGATCTTCTGCAGAAGGACTAAATGCAAACCAAGCGCACTAGAGACTGGCCAAGAGGCTAACTTCTGGTTTAGCCCTCCGCTAACTTGAATAAAGATAAAAATCAATCTTGCTGCTCTGGTTCGAACCAGGAACCCTCTTGCTGTGAGGTGACAGTGCTAACCACTGGACCACAGTGTCTTCAAAAAACAATCCACTTATTTACAGACGTCTCTTTCACAATGTAAGTCTATGAGAAAAAGGCATTTGGGCCCCAGTGGCATCACGTGACAGACCCGAAAGTTGTAATTTATCTGTGTCAAATTGGCTTCAAATCTCGATGCCCATTTTAGCAGCATGTAGAGAAATGGTTTTGCATTAAACAGGACCTTCTGATCGGCCTTTAGAGACTACCAATAAAACTATGTAAAACAGATATTGGCTGATAACGATTGGTGGCCGATCAATCTGAGCTCCCTTGACCACAAATCATTGCTGAAGTTCTACCAGAGTGGCAGTCGTAAAATCATTTAATGGACCATTCGTCTAAACTTAAAAATGATTTCCAGTAAAATATGATCCTCGAATGTTTAAGAGCGTTACACAAAAGTGCACCACAGTGTTGATGACTGTCCACTGACAACAGAATTTGTTACAAGGAGTGAAGCTAAACATGTGAAGCTAAACACATCACATATAAAACCTGCTGAATTACTACTAAAACCATGTCGACTAAATCTGACTCTGTGAAAACAGAGTGGAATGAAAAAAACATGACGTTCATCATCATTGACGTGATATCACTGGCAGTGATTTATCCCGTGCTGCTGCAGATGCCAAAGCCCATAAAACAACATCCTCTGAGCCACACACTAACACAAAGCCAGAAAATACATACCTGCACTGGAGTCTCTAAATTTCGTCGCAGAGAGCCATCACATCGTGTTGCCCTTTCAGTGATAAAAATCTATTTCTGAATAATGTTTTATCTTTTCTCCTCTTAGAGGAAAATCTATTGTGGCACCAACACTTTTCTGTGCTTGATTTTCTTCGTGAACAGAGGCATTACAAATTCACCGGAAAGGTATTGCTTTGAAAAGGAATGTACGGACGAGCGGGCTTTAATTTGTTTCTCGCTCCGAGTGTGTGATTTGCTTTTGATTGGCCATCAGTCTGACGCTCACTGCCAAATCAAGATCAGGGTGAATGGATGTCTCTTTGCTGGTTTGTTTGTTTTGTCTTGTTGTTACTGCTGCACAGACATCAGGGATACAGTGTTCATCTCAGACCAGCCAGAGTGACTCTGACAGCACACCAGAGGGCTCTGAGAAGATGGAGAGAAGAAATGAGAAAATGTGATGAAGGTAAACGAGAGAAAAGCCTAGAGAGGTGGCAGAGGCCAAGATATGCAGACAGCAAAATCTGCGAATAGCAAAAAGAAAAAAAAAAACAGTATGGAGGAGTAAATATAAAGAGCTTTCCTCTGAGGCTCTTCATGCAATCTTCCCTGTCATATTCTGCAAAGCTTTGCTCGCCTGTCACAAAAACAAGGTTAGCTGTTTTCCAGGCTTAGTGGCCCCCTTTCTGTGGCAGATACAAAATGTTTTATTAAAACCTGTTTGGAAAATGTCATGTCTCGCTGCGAAGAAGAGAAGCTAAAGATGGATGAAAAATAACACCGGAGGCTGACAAGCCACGAGTGACGACAAGTTCCAGCGCTGAAATTAATTCCAAACGGGTTCCCGGAGAAATGACCTACGTTCATGAGACAGATCAGTCACCTTGATATTTTTCACAATGAACGCACACGGCTGCATTTCCCAGCAAGGTCCTGTTGGGTTTAGATCCAATCTGCCAGTCTGTTTATAAAAGAACGTGCCCCAGTTCCATAGAAAAACAGCAAAAGATGTCAGAGAGATATGTGATCTAATAGCGGATATGGGGGATGGAAGATGAAACAGTGTTAAAATCTCGTCTGTCAAATGTCTGTGTGCAAAGGCTCTGGATATACTTGTACTATTTGTAGCAGCGGCTGGCTTGTTGCTGTACGGCCAAGATTGCCTGCTCACGCTGAATTCCACGAGAAGTTAAAGGGACAGTTGAGAATTTTTGAAGTGGGGTTGTATCAGGGAACATATCCATGGACAGTATATTAAATACAGCAGATGTCGGTCGGCACACCCACAGTTTGGAGGAGGCAGGAGTATGACATGGAAGCTGAGCAGTCTACTGCTGTGGAGGGGTTGGCAACAATCCGTGTTTTAGCTACCTAAAAAAGTCAATATCA